GGCTACTGCCAAAGGCTCAATCAAACATGCATTGTCGAGTAAAGAGTCTGGGACGGGATAGCACTGCTGCCATCTGACCGCGACGTATTCAGAAAACCCACCGCCCCCGCCTCCGCTGAGCCCGAGAAACCCAGGCTTGTCACAGAGGTGAGTGTTATTTTCCAAGCAAGGTCGACATTGCAGGCAATATAGCCGGGGGTCAATCACTACGGCCTGGCCAACCTTCAACGGACAGCCAGCAGTTGTTTCTGCTACTCGACCACACGCCTCGTGTCCCAATGTTACTGGGAGCCTGTCACCAGTATGGATGTCAGGACGATCCTTGGTTGGCGTGCCGAACGAGCCTGGAGGTAAGTGAGCGAGTGAAGTTGGCCCATATAGAGGGAGGAGCTCTGGCCATCTGTTACTGGCCAAGAGCGCTTACCAGCAGTATAATTCTTGAGATCACTACCACAGATCCCGCACCAGGCAATCTTTACCAATATCTCGCCGTCTTTGGGTTGTGGTCTTTGGACGTCCTCGACGCGGACGTCCCTGACACCATAGTAGCGTGCAGCCTTCATACTCAGAGCTCTTTGGATCGCGATACTACACCACGAAGACCTCCTTGGGTAGAGGTTCTGAAATACTTGGTGGAAAGAGATGTCTGGTCTATCCGGAATTATGCAAAGCGATCCGTCGATTGCCCGCCCCATGCTAATTGAGATACTTGACCAGTGCACTTGAACTTCCTATATCCGATTCCGGCAATGTCTACGGCCCATGCTAAGCCTGTGAAGAGCAAATCGCTCTTTAGATTCAAGCCCCTACGCACGTATCGAATGGAACGATTTTCCCCAGCAGCATCCCCAGGCAAAGTCAGCCCCGCTCTTGCTAAGGCGAGACTAGGCCACTCGATCCCCGGAATTAAGCGATGAGATTGGAATAGTCCTGGAGAAGAGACAGAGGTCACACTTTGCGAGCTCACCATCATGTGCTTGGTATGGCTTACAGAGAATACAAATCAAAGCAGCGCGGTCATAATGGCGGGAGTGCTACAACTTAACTGCCAGCCACTCTGCCCAACTGAGAGGACCAGGTTGGAGACACAGCATGGTACTGGATGATGCACCAGAGAAGCCACCAAACTAATTCCGGGGGTGGAGAACAACCACGGTCAGTACTGGTCGACCGCTACGACCTTGTGGATCGCTACTTGATCGCTAATCAATTTCCCCATATTCAACTGGTTAGCTGGAGCTTGTCAAACTCTATAAGTCTGGCAGTCTGGCCACTCAACAGTGGCCTCGACGCTTCTACCGAGTCCCAATATCAGAAAGATCAGACTGCCACGTTTTCCATCTCTCTTCCCCTTGACCCGGAGCATACGCGCATGACACGTACAGGCTAAAACAGCACGATCCCTTCCCGAGTACCTTGCACTCACTCTAAATCTCCCTCGCCTCTTCCTGGACCATGCATGAGAACACCGAGGCCAATATAGACAGCATTCAGAAGTCATGGGACACGCCAGACGGCTCGACCCAGGCCCACGACGAGTTTCCGAAGCAGCATGCTGTCCACCACACCGGCATCGCTGCATTGGCCGACATTGGAAACGAGGATCCTGAAAACACCGAGTTTCGCTGGACGCTCCCAGTCTTCACCAATCTCTTCGCTCTCTACATCACCTGGTTTGTCGCCACGTTTGGGAACTCGGCCTACGCCTCTTCGCTTGCCTATGTGGCGCGTCGGTTCCCCGAGTCTGCCAGTCAGGTCGGCTGGGTGTCGACTGGCCCGTATGTCGTGGCCACGGTGCTCATGGTCCCCGTGGGAGAGGTGTCGGATTTGATCGGCCGGAAACTCTTCGTCATGATATGTCTGGCCTTGTCGACAGTGGGTGCCCTTGTGGCTGGTCGTGCGGACAGTTTTGGCATGATCATTGGCGGTCAGACTCTGCAAGGCTTCGGTCTCGTGCTGTGCTACCTCCCAGGACCGTTGACGCAAGAGATGGTACCAAAGATCGTACGGCCCATCGTTGCAGGTACTGGCGGATGCATCGTCGGCGTCGGGTACATCATGTCTCCCATCATCGAAGGCGTGTTCATCAAAAAGGGCTATGGCGGCGAGCTCGAGGGGTGGAGAACAGGCTACTACACGTCGGCGGGCATGTATGTGTTGGCCCTCGTGTGTGTCCTCCTCTTATACCATCCAGCAAGGAGACCCAATCCGACACACAGCACCAAGTGGCAACGACTGATGAAGATCGATTGGTTTGGTCTCCTTTTGCTCGCAGGAGGTCTGGCCATGTTCCTCGTCGGTCTCAGTGCAGGAGGCATCACTCGGCCCTGGACGTCAGCTTCAATCATCTCGTTACTGGTCATCGGAGGTCTTTGCCTCGTCGGTCTCTTTATCTGGAACTGGAAAGGGACCAGCGAGGGCATGTTTCCTCACTGTCTGTTCGAGCACCGCAACTTTGGCATCACCCTTGTTGTCCGAGCTGTGGGGAGCTTCGCCCAAATTGGCTGTCAAGCATACCTCCCGCAGCTCGTGGTCTTGCTCTTCACCAGCGACGGTGTCTTACAAGCCGTCTGGCAGCTTCCGTTCAGCGTCAGTCTGATCTTTGGGTCGGCCGGAGCTGCGGCGGGACTCAGACTGACAAGAGAAGGCCGCTGGATCGCAGTCTTGTCCATGCTCTTCTTGATCTTAGGCGGAGGTCTTCTCATCCTCATCAAGCCCGACGTCAGCTTCGCCGCCTGGTTCTTTGCCGCGGCCGTGACCGGCTTCGGCATCGGCTGTGAATCTCAGGTCTTGAACATCATCGCTGGCCTGTGCACGCCAGACCATCTGATCGCCACGGCCATCATGGTCGCCTCGCTCTCCGGGACCTTTGGCGGCTCCATCGCCATCACCGTCTTCGGCCAGATCTACCAATCCAGTCTCAAAGACATGTTGCCAAAGGCCATCTCCACCGCCGTCACCAAGGACGGCTTTCCCCAGGATAATCTCCCGGCCCTTTTCGAAGCATATGCAACCTCGAACCAGACCCTGATAGCCCAGGTGCCGGGTATGACGCCGCAGATTCTCGGGACTCTCAACGACGCGGTCTTGGACGCGAGTGCAAAGAGCTACCACAACGTATGGTACACGTTGATCGCGTTTGCGGCCATCACGACCGTCATCGCCTGGTTCCTCAAGAGCACTAAAGATCAGTTGACGAGAGCTGTGACTGCACCTGTGGGAGAGCGGGTTCTCGGGCTGGAGATGGACGCAGAGCGGCGAGCAAGGAGGCCAGTTGAGCGTATGTGTGCCAACGAAGACGGAGGGGGGATGTACTATGAGAGAAAAGTATGCACTGCTTGAACCTGTATCTATCGATTACGTTGCATGGTATCCTGTCTGCTCTCTTACATGACGCACGTCTCTGCTGTGACAATAGTGTAGATGCGGCCAGTTGTAGTATTTCATTCCCTGCGATACCCGGAGAAACCGAGCAAGCCAGCGTCAAACCTACTTGGGCCATATCGGGCTCCGACAGTTTTGTGTGTCCCACACGTCTAGAGCACATCCTCCAGCTGGCAATCTGAAAAGATCAACATGGCCATTCTAATCTGTTACATTTCGTCATCGACCAGGAAGCTGGAGTTGCTGCTCATCTTTGAATTTTTCGTTATTCCACTCTTGACGTTAACACTTGGAGGGATGTGGTCTGTCCTTAATCCGTACCCTACACTCTGGCTTCTAATCTGCTTGATAGGTGTAGGGCGACAATCACATCTTTACGTTATCCTGTGCCCCCTTCTTGAAATCAGGCATCACCTTTCCGTCCTTGATCACCCAGCGTACAGTTCCCGCCATGGAACACAATCCCGGTGAGATCGTCGTGTTTGCCGTGCTGTCCCAGAAGTTGTCGTGGTCCGGGTTCACCACTTCTTGCCAGTACGAGTCCTGCGATGCCGACAGGTATCCCTCGATACTGGAGAAGGTTGCCTCAGCGAACCCGTCGCAGTCCACACAAGGAACGCCGGTCAGGTCTGTCCACTTTTTGCGGATTGCTGATGGAGTATGGAACTGTTTTCCCCCCGCCCCCCACGCGGTAGCACAGTCAGTCAAAACATGTCTTGTATGACTCTTCCACCATCAATCAATGTGAGAGCATCAGGTGAGTGACAGGATTCGCAATCCCGTTGGCCGTGGGTAGGCGGGCTATGTTGATATGTTACTCACCTGGCGGTATCCGATGAGACCGTATTTCTCGGCCCATGGGGCGACCAGGGCGCCGTGACGCGTATACCAGTACCGGTAGAAGTCTTCCTCCGTCATGCCTGGTTTCTTGTGGATGAAACTCCCGATTGTCACGGGCCCCGTGGGATTCGCATAGCTCTCTTCCGCCATTTGGGTCGTGCTTTAACTCAGGAGCAGTTGTGAATGAGGAAGAAATGCACGATGTCAACAATGCTTGAGGGAAAGGCCTGTGAGCATTAAATTACTACGAGGGGGGAGGGGGGGGCGCTCTCCAAAACCCCATGGGTCCCAGACTCGAGGCTTAGAGTTAGTTGTGCGTTCCCCAGGTGCCATCATAGAGCTGCGGAACTGAGCCTGGGGAGGCCCAAGACAAGTAAATTCCGAGCTTCCGCCTACTAAAACGATCGCTGAGTGTCCTGGTCTACGACCCCGTGTGTACGTCTCGGGTCATAGCTGGAGGCCTGACATGTCTCTCCGCTTCTCTATCACATCGAGTTGTCGAAGAAGGCGATTAGATTGCTTGCTCTTGCATTCACCCACAACCAACAACTGTCCTTCAAAGCGGAAACATGGATTAACCAGCAATAAAATCGGAACGAGAGATGAATAGGAAGTCGACGTCGGGTCAGGTACGGACTTAGACGTAGAGAGTTTGTGTACCCAGCTGGCGCTTTTATATCATACTCGACCGCACTGTACGTAGATTGTAGTCACCCAGCCCATAGAATTGAGAGACGTCCTTTGTGAGAATAACAGCGCAACAAGATTCGAGCATCATGGCACACGTACTGTTAGACCAGATTCCCCGTACCAACTTCCAAGCCATCTTTGGGGTGCATCAGAACACTCCACGCCTGGATGAGCAAATCAACTTCTACAAAGCAGTGGGTTGTGTGGTTGACGGTAAGCACCAGCATCTCAAACGGGAGCATGTAGGCAGCATCTAACTGGCAGTTCGCAAAAGATGACTACCAGCTCAAGGATGGTGCAACGCTGCCCGATGCCTGGTTCACAGCTCGTGGAGTCAAGCGCGAGGACCTCGACCGGTTCGTGGCCATGCGGCTTCCGCACGATCCATACATGCACGTCTACTTCTACAGCTGGCACAACCTGTCCACCAAGGCCCAGTGGCCTCCGATCATCAACCAGATCGGCTCGCGCAGCTTGACGTTCCTGCTCGACGACGTTGACAAGGAACTCGAACGCATCCGCCGCGACTTCCCCCAGACACCGATCCTGTCGGATGTCTTGACCATTGAGCGGAAATGGGGCACGACCAGATCCGCCCTCGTCAAGGACCCCGAAGGCAATTTCCTCGAGCTGGTCTCCGTGGCCGGGGGCCGGTTTGACGAGCAGAAGATGAAGCCGGCGCCGTGGGATCAAAAGACCTGGTTGCATTTTCAGATGAATTGCCAGTATTGGGGCAAGACGCGCCGGTTTTATCGAGGGTTCGGTGCGTGGCCCCCCACCCCCCCCCCCCCCCCCGGTCGTCCATCTCCAGGAAATTCTTTTCAGATATAAGAGGGGTTCTTGCTGACCTCCTTTCCCCCAATTGCAGGCATGGAGCACGACTATGGTACGGACTTCCGAGGCGAGAAGATTGGGTTTCCCTTCGGCTGGGACTATTATGAGAAGCAGATGAACGAAGGCTGCGACTTCAAGGTCGATCCCGACACTCGCAATGACTTTCTCCGCAATGCCCGGGATGTCAGTGGGATGCATCTGGAGTTGTTGGAAGGTATTCCAGGTGAGAATTGCTGCTTGCTGAAAAGAACCTCAGAAGTACTCGCTCAACTGACAATCGTCCCCAGGGAGAGAGAAACCTCCTGGGGTTCCACCCACGTGGTCCCAGCTAGGTAGGTCGCGTGATGTCTGTGAACTACAACAAAACAAATAGAAGGGCTGACCTCGTGTGCGTCTGTGTGTGTCAGGCATCATGCGCTACTGCTGGAGAGTCCCAGACTACTACAAGGCTGTGGCTGACATCAAGAAACTCGGCAAGAAGATCTACGTGGAAGACCAGCGAGGTAAATCTATATCCCCTTCCCATCCCTAGAGAAAGCGCACCTGTCTGACCGATCGATAATCAGGATGTCTTGTCTGGGGTGACACCCAATGGATCTTCTATGGCGACTGTGATGGAAACTTTCTGTGTCAGTGAGTTGGTTCCCTCGCCCCCAGTAGCTGTAGGGGCATACAACTCTAACCGTCGGGTCACCTTTACAGAGAGCAGTGGTATCCTCAGCGATATTTTGGGTTCCAGGACTAGAATTGTTGTAGAGACGCATCTGGCCGAGTGGAAGACACGGCGGCATTACGACAAGGTCGCCTGGCTGAATACTATATCGAGATCTGAAGTAGGGGTCCCAGACCTGCAGAAAGAGAGAATTCCACAGTTAAACCATACTTTGTCCGTGAAGTGTTTTGTATCATGTCAGCGAAAACTTATTACATCGAGGGCTTGAGGTGGAAGATGCTCTGTCGTGCACAGTCACTTACCAATACGAATAACTATGGACAAAATACGTGTGTGTCCCCCTCGGGTACTGCCTCAATTCCTGTCCTCGCATTTGAGCAAAAAAGGCCGTATGTTTTGCTTCATATCAGTTGTACCAGATCATCAGGCACTACAACCGCCAGGGATACCTATTATGCGGCTCATGACATCCTCCCTGGATACAGAACTATTCTCTTCTTCGTCTGCTCACATCCCCTTGTCCCCTATCACATAAAACATAGGAATCCCGCTCAATGTCGTATGTACCTCCTTCCCGAGCCCCCTCGTGGCGGCCATGTCAGCGTTTCAACCTTCCCGTTTCCACAATTCCTGTGAATCTCTATTCCGAATCACGCACAGCATCGGCTTCTTGTCCCACCAAAACACAATCTTCTGATCCGCCCAGTCCCTGCTCTCCTCACACAGCTCAAAGTCAAAGTTATACAGCAGCCTGGCCATAATGGTTCGGGTCTCGGCGTACGCCAGGTTGCGGCCGATGCAATTTCTGGGCCCGACGCTGAACGGCTGCAGAGCGTCCCTCTTGTCATAGTGAAATGGCGAGTTGGTCTGGGAGTAGTGGTCACGCAGCCATCTTTCTGGGAGGTATTTGTCGGCAGCGTAGAAGTTTCTCGGGTCTCGGTAAGCGGCGAGTTGGTTCACCCCCACAGTTACCTGTCAAAGACCGGTTTAGTCAGTGGACAATGAAAAAGAGTTGTCTTTCATGTGGAGAGAGAACGGATAGGTACATACATTCGGAGGGACTACGTGTCCCGAGATCATCGTCGGGCTTCCCGGCGGTGTAAAACGTGGCAAGGTTGATGGCAAGGGTGGATAAATACGCATAGCCTCGGTGATACAGGCGACCATGTACGGAAGCTTTGAGGATGAGGTGATAAAGGTGATCTCGCTTTCATCTGAGAATACAGACCTCACTTCATGCTGAGCGCGGGCTAGCTTGTCAGGATGTCGCAGCAGGTAGTACAGGGTTCCCGACAGAGTGGTGGCAGAGGTCTCGGCGCCAGCACTGATCAAGACACTGGCATTGACGAGAATCTCCTGGTCGCTCATCCCGTTGGGGGTCCCGCGGCTTTCGACCATGCTGTCCATGAAATCTCCACGCCCCTGCTGCTCCTTGTTACTGATCCGTCTCATGGTGACCTGTTCCGAGAACTGCCACTGGCGGGAATGCGCCTCCGCGAGGGACTTGGGCGTGAGGAAAGACGCGAGCTTCCCTAGAATGGGGTAGTTGTAGAAGAAGCTCAGGTAGGCACCGGCCTTGACGAACAGGAACATGGTCCGAATGTAATCGTGCTCCTGTGCGCTCGACACGCCGCCAAATGGTTCCCCAAAGGACAAGTCGCCGATGAGATCGAACGTGACGAGATGGAGCCATTTGGCCAAATCGACTCGGTCCCCCTGGCGTCCCAAGATGCGTAGTTGCTCCATCAGCGAGTCGACGTACACCTTGATCAAGGGTTCCTGCTTGCGTATCGCCTTCTCGGAGAACCCGCCTGCCATTATCTTCCGGTACCTGGTGTGGTCGGCGGAGTTGGCGTGGATGAGGTGGTCAGGCTTCCCGTCAGGCTCGTGGAAGGCGACGGCTTTGGGAAGCTCGGGGTGGCCGAAGCCATAAATGTCTTGCCAGGCCTGAGCATCATTGAAACTGAGCTCATTGGGACCGATTCTCACTACGTTTCCGTATTTGATATGGAAGTCGAGCAGATGTCGCTCCAGGGTACCTTGCAAAAGTGCTGTCCAGCGAAGAATGGGGAAAACAACCCAGAGTTTTGGGCCGGGGAACTTGCGAACTGGTGAGAAGTAGAGATTATACACCCCTGCGACCAAACAGTATAGCACATAGCATACAATTGAGGCAGCTCCGAGGACGCCAACTCGCTGTCCCGTAGATAGAGATGATGGTAAAAGTGCTAGGACAGCCATCGCGAACAAGCTAATCACCAAAACAGGTCGTCAGGTTGTTCCTGCCTCGGGTCTCCGCCAGCGGGATATATATGGCGAGAAGTCTTTTCCGAAAATGCACCCATTACAGATGCAAAGCCATCAGGTCTGCTATAACAAGAACGAGGGGTCCGGAATACGCAGTCCAATGAATAAGCGGATTCCGTCGCTCGTCGTAGAGGTTGCTACCAAGGTAGAACGGAACATGGAACTGTCAGGACATCCGAAGCAAAAGTAAAAAGTGTCTTAAAAGCCTGGTGAGTGTTCCATCAAGTCCCAGTCCTTCTGAAGATCTTTGAACCTGTCCAAGTTACTCCACTGGCAGCTTCCACGCTTCTCCAATCCAGCATGGCAGAGACAAAGCCATCCCTAGGTCAAGGGAGTGAGAATGACCACATCCGTGAAGACGCCATTGGAGGCACTTCATTGGACCGGCGGTACTATCGCAGCTTTCGATTCCTTGGGTCTATGGTCGCCTTTTCCTTGTCGCTCTGTGGATCATATGTGGGATATCTGCTGCCTGTCGGAATTCTGACCATTATCAACGCTGACATTGGTAAGCCCTGAAGGGTCTCTCCAGACTTCTCTCACTGCATCCCGGGCCGCTGACCATGCTAGTCTAGGTCCCGATGCAAACTACCCCATGATTGCGGTTGCTTGGACGATCAGTAATGCACTAGGCAATCTCCTGGTCGGTCGCCTCTCGGACATCTTCGGTCGACGATACTTTCTCCTTGTCGGGAATGCCCTGGGCCTCCTCGGGTTCATCGTTTCTGCCGTGGCCCGGAATATTTCCTCTTTGATAGGGGCAAGTGTCTTGATTGGGCTTGCAGCCTCAGTATCTTTGACATTCTATTCAGCTGCAGGGGAGCTGGTACCCATCAAGGATCGTGGGTACTGGTATTTTGCAATCTTTGTGCCTGTCATTCCGTTCGGCATGTTCAGCGCTTGGTTAGGTCAGTCTCGGCTTCGATGATGCAGATTGGCTTGATGTTGACGCCGCATCTTCCTTCTAGCACACAACTTTGTTCTCATCGCGACCTGGCGATGGTGCTATTACCTTGCGATTATTATTCAGGGGGTGGCAGTCATTTTGCTGGCTGTCGCATATTTTCCTCCTTCAGTGGAACAACTGCACAGCGAGAAATCGCGTCGACAATTGATCAGCGAGATCGACTATCTCGGCATATTCCTATACACTGCCGGAACGGTTCTATTCCTCCTGGGTGTGAGCTGGGGCGGCTCCACGTATCCTTGGAAATCGAGCGAGGTCATTGCATGTCTTGTCGTAGGCGGTGTTACCTTGATACTCTTCTTTACCTGGGGTGCGTATTTTACTCTCCGGGTTGTGATTGTTGTGTTCACGCTAATCTCTTTGCAGAGGGATTTGGACATCCCACAAGTCCACTACTACCGGTGAAGTTCCTGGTTGGGGACAAACGAGGGTTCTTCTTCCCGGCTATACTTGGCGGCGTTGACTCAATGTTTTACTACGGCCTGACCCTCATCTGGCCCACTCGTATGTGGAAAAGCACTCTGGAGGGCCCTTCATTTGCTAACCTTTGCTGCTGTAGAAGTGAACACTGTCTACACCACTGGACTTCGCACAGAGGGATGGCTTGCTAGCATTCTGTCAGCCGCATCCCAGACAGGCACCATGGTCGCGACCCTTGTCTTCTACCGGATGGGCCATCAGCGGATTGCCCTTGGCGTCGCATTTACCATCATGGTTGGGCTCACTGGTGGCCTCACAGTGACAAATCCCACCAACCGAGCGCTTGCCATAGGTCTTGTCACACCAGCCGGATTTTGCATCGGCTTCAGCGAAACCATCATCCTCATGCTCGGCCAGGCTTGTCGAGATCCGCACATGATTGGGTTGGCGGTTGGGACGCTCGGCTTCCTGCGCCTGCTCTTTGGAGCGGTCGCCCAGGCTCTCTACACTACTATCTTGTCGAACCGACTTGCTACAACCTTGCCGCGCAGAATAACTGAGTTCGCGGTGAATGCAGGGCTCCCTACTTCGGCATTGCCCGATCTGTTCCAGGCGGTGGCTACTCAAGATCCGGATGCTCTAAACACTGTGCCAAACATCACGTCGAGTGTCATCGAAGCGGTCACAATGGGCCAGAAGTTTGCATATGCCGATGCCTTCAGCAGTGTGTACTGGACGGCGTTTGCATTTGGGGCTGTCGGTGTTGTGCTTACACCATTTGTAAGGAAGGATGTCAATGACGAGATGACTGCCTATGTGCCCAAGAAATTGCGTGGTGTGTTGGATGATGGTAAAGTTGCGGATGGGAAAGACCTCGAGTTTGAGAAGGGCCAATCTACCACCCATGTCGATCATCACCTTGCGAAGTCTGCGTAGAATGTGAGTTGCTGATTGATCGGGATAGTCAGGTAGACAGGACTGCATGACAGGGCTCGGTTTGTGTCCCGGTTCTGTACAATTTCAAGGCAATCTCAATGAAGTTCGTGGAAAAAATGCCGACTCGGAATCTCGGTCTGGTAAGGTCGGAATTATCTCTCAACAGCTTATAAGAGCAGTAGTCCCTGGGTGCTCGTCAAAAATTCTCCCAACAACCTTCAAATCTCCAATCGTGACGATTGCTCCTCCAAGCAGGCACCCGTGGCCTCCAGAAGGCTCACCTGACTGCTCCCAATGGGAGAATGGAGGCTCGAAGCTCCTGACATATGAAATCTGTTGGAAACATTGAGACAAGGTAGAGTACAAGCCATGCTGACCTGCTTCAAAGTGGTCGGCGACTTCATTTCTTCACATAGCGGCACCAAATGCGGGTTTAGGCCCACAACGACGAACGTCTCTCTGACAAACAGCTCGTCCTGACGCAAGAGCAGGGTCTTTCTGGGTTATACCCGGTAGAGGCAAATCCTGGAGACTGATAGACCCGTCCGTGCTGGTGGCATGGGGAGATTGCGAACCCTGACTTGGTGGAATACTCCACAACTGGCCCCCTCCACGTTCGGCCATATACTTTCCACCCCACAATTATCAGCTCCGTCAATAACCAGTGGTGTGGGGATTTTGCCAGGTACCGGGAGCTTGTGTGTACTTTGCTGAGTCGATTATAATACGATCAAGGGCGATGTACCTCTGGTTGAACAGACTAAGAGTTGGGACAGGACAGAAAATAGAGCGTGATAAGTGACAGTATGTGATTGGCTGTCAGAGTTCGATGCGGGTCCGCGTCTTTCCCGATACGGATAGCATTGACTAGCCTAATAAGGGCAGTTCATCGTTCCATCCTGTCGAGCTGGTCGACATTGCCCGCTTACCGGACTTCTGCAGCTTGGCGCGGAGAACAACTTTTAAATCGGGTCAAGCTCTTCGTCCTCCTTGATACTTTTGAATGCACTCAGCCACCACCCACTTGCCCCTGATGGAAGACGTCGAATTTGACATCAGTGCACCTGTAAGTTTTGGCCATGGATACCGCCCTATACTCGGATCGCTAGGCGCCCGGAATTTTACAAATCTGGCTCACGTATCCCACCAGAACAGGCGCCCAGGCACAAAAAGATCCCAATATGTGTCTCGAGCATGGTAACCTTGAGTTGATCATCTTCTCCAACCTCCCCAGATCTGACAGTTTAATAGTGTTGAATGTCAAAAGCGTAAAGTAAAGGTCGGCCAAGACCGCTGCACTCTCTGGTTGTCTCCCTGAATTCGCGCTGATTTCATTTCTTGGCCTAGTGTTCGAGAGAACAGCCTGGCCCTTGTCAGGCATGCCTCAATTGCTCGCTCACTTGCGTGTACAACACTGGCGCCCGGAAACGGCGCTCAACCAAAGTCAAGCAGCCTTCGACAGTGCAAGTACCATGGTTGCTGAGATATGTAATTCCGCGCCACTGACCGGTACCTAGTCAAACATCCCAGGCGATATCTGCGGCTCCCTCGGAAATGTCGTCCACTGCACCGGCGACTACTACCGCGATACATCCGCTACAATCTGACCAGTCGCCTAATAATCCTTCAGGGTCAGAAAGGACGGACCCAAATGCTGATATATTAGCCAGAATAGCCAGACTAGAGCAGGGATTGGCCATGGAGCAAGCTAGAAGAATGTCAGGCTTACAACCTTGGGACATCAGCTATACGCTTCCTGGCCCATCGCTTGACAACGTACCATTGGACCTTGATCACAGTGATATGTCAGCCATTCTTTCGTCTGAGCACGGCACGATGCAGCAGGAGGATAGACCTGGTCCGAATGATCCACAGGCCTGCCAGAGCGAAGCACTTCCGGAAGGTCAGTCTAATGGAGTGACTCTCCCCCAAAGGACCAGAGGCGGTCGGTGCTGTTCCCCGGGTCCTGGAAATACGTATGCTTGCCATGGAGATGACTTGCAGCTTTGGTCCCAGGAAAACAGTAGCCTGGAGATTGAACTCATGCGGAAGCGCTTAGAGACATATTTTGTGGTTATAAACCCGTATTGTAAGTATCGAGAGCGCATTCAGCCCGAATCTCTTGCTAAATACCATGTCCCAACAGACCCGTGCTTGAACGAAACACAGACGCTCGCCCAGTTCGAGAATTACCTGCAAATGGACGAACAGGAGAAGTTGAGCTTCGACAGTGTTCAGTTCGTGGCCATGCTCCATCTTATTTCCTCCCTCCTGGCCATCTTGGAGGACTCTTCTAGCAATTCCGACGACGAAATTCCGGGCTGGACGGGTTTCAAACGTGCAAGCCATCTTCTCTACCACACCGCATGGCTGGCAGACGGCAATCTCGCCACCATTCAAACCCTAATCATCAAATGTACCTACCTCCTATATGCGGAAAAATACAATGCGACTTACGACGCCGTGGGACAAGCCGTAAGGCTGTGTTTTCTCATCAAACTCCATACTCAATCGGAAAACGACCAATATCAAAGCCCCTTTGAGACACATATGCGGCAAAGGGTTTTCTGGGCTCTCTACTGTCTCGAGCGAAACGTTGCCCTTGTCTGTGGAGTTCCTTATCTGATTCGAGACTCAGAGATCCAGGTCCCTCTCCCCAGTGAACTGGATGATCAGAGTCTAGGGAACACGGAGCAGGTCCCAGATGAGAGTCCTACTTATTCGTTTATCCCCCATCTTCACTGCACGTCGCAGTGGGCTCAGCTCAGCTCTCAATGCTGGGATCATCTTTTCTGTGCGAGCGCCAAATGGCCAGTGGACGAGGATTTCATTATCACAATGGATGCCAGGATCGAGTATCTGCGGAACCGAGTCCCGCAACAACTGTCCTGGAGGAAATTTGCTGCGAACAAGGAGCACGCGGGTGACTCGCCGCCTTACATGAAACGGCAAGCCATGATCCTCCATCTGGTAAGTGTGTCCCGTGCTGCCGAGACTCGCTCTTGCCGACACGTCTTGCTGACGTTCCCTGCCAACAGCGCTGTAACCACCTGCGGCTGCAAATACGACGAGAGAACATCCTGACGACGGAATTCCGCACTCGAGATGTACGTAACATCTTGGACATTGCGACAGACTCGGTCGACATCCTCCACAGCTTTCACTTCTCGCCAGAATTCGGCCTGCTCTCGCGATACATGTGCGTGACTTACATCACAGGCGCTCTGATTGCTGTAGGTGGTGTGATCCTGGGCGACAAGCTAGACAGCAGCATCCTTATCGCCGCGACGCAAACGTTCAGGCGCGCGGTGGACGTCCTGCGTAGCATCTCTGTGACACTCCGGCTGGCACGGTCGAATCTCAAGAAACTGGAACGAATCATCGATGCCACCGAGAGAATCGCCCAGACTCACGAGGTGAATTTGATCAGTGATAGTCTCGTCACGACGTTCACCTCGACCCAGCCAAGGTCGAGTGACACGGGCCTAGGGGACGCAGGCAGACTCCCGGACAAAGATACCACGGTGCCCTTTGACCAGGGCAACATCGACGACGGCCCTATCCGCATGATGTATACGCCTGCATTCGATGCACACTATTGGGACTCTTTGATACTTGACCTGTGATTTCGTCCTCTCCCTCCTGGGGGGTTTTTGAGAATTGACAGGCCTGGAACCAGCGTGATTGCCAGCCCGTGCAAGAAGGACTTTGCAGACGGGCGGTGAACCTGTGCCACACAAGAAGAGCGACACTCGGACTGCATTGGACTCGTCGAAAGTGTTGTCCTTACTGAGTATCGTCAAGGAAAAGGAAAAAAAAACGCGTTGAAGAAACTTACTCATTAAGGATTTCCTCTGGCCACCGCAGACGTATATCTTCAAGCCTAGGTGTAGCTTTGCCGAAGCGCGAGCCGACACCACAAGACTGAAAGTCATACTATGATGTGGTCAGACAATTTGGCTCTATGTATATATCATACTTGGCTAGGTAATCGGAATCAGGATGCGGAAGAAACACAGACACGGATTACAAGTTGCCTTCGCACAAATGTGACTGAGTCGAACTACCTGATCTCCATTGGCTCCGGAATGATCTTGCATCCTTTATGGGGTAGACAGCACTAGTATGTATCTACGACCCACGCACGGTCCAGTCACCTGCGAACGAGACCCAATTCTCCTGAAATTCCGAGAGTCGAAGACCACGTAAGATTTAGTGGGAAGACACCTAATCAGGCTCCGTCGCCAGTCCCGGCCGCTGTTGTGCTAGCACCTGTTTACAAGTGTCTCTTTATCCGACGGCGCGATCATTTGTACTCGGTGTGTATAATTATTATCGAGGGGGCCATTTGTCTAGAACTTCCTTGACCACACTGCCCGTCCCATCCGTGAAGTTTCTTGTTTGCAGTCACAAGCATGACTTCCGACGCGTATACCGTCCAGGAACGACCTATCCACTCCGGGCGAAAGCTGAGAGTCATCTGCATCGGCGCTGGGGCCTCGGGCCTCCTTCTGGCGTACAAGATCCAGTACAACTTTTACGAATCTGACGTCGAACTGCAAATCTACGAGAAAAATCCCGACCTCGGGGGTACATGGCTCGAGAACAGGTCTGTGAAGGGACACATCCGGAAGGCTCTTGCCTTGGAACGGTGTTTTTGATTGACTTGGGGAATAGATATCCTGGCTGCGCGTGTGACTGTCCGGCACATACGTGGGTGTTCCCCGGCGAGGCTCTATCCATCCACCGATGCGCGTCTAGCTGACCGAGTCGTAGGTATACGTGGTCTTTCGAGCCCAAGGCGGACTGGAAACAGACGTTTGCGACATCCCCGGAGATTCATCGCTACTTTGACGAGTTTGCCGCCAAGTACGACTTGGAGAGGCACATTCGGTACAACAGCCAGGTCTCGGGCGCGAAGTGGAACGACGAGCAAGGCAAATGGGCGGTGGAGATCACGCAGAATGGCAAGGTTGTCCACGATGTCTGTGACATCCTCATCAATGCGTCTGGCATCTTGAATAACTGGCGGTGGCCCGCGATTCCAGGCCTGGAGAATTTCAAAGGGCCAAAGCTACATTCTGCCGCGTGGGACGAGACTCTGGATCTGACTGGGAAGAAGGTCGGATTGATTGGCAACGGGTCAGCTAATTCCTTCATGTTTACCTGGCGGTGGAAATGTCGTGGCTTGTCGTGCATACTGACTGACAGTGGTGCTAGATCCTCGGGCATCCAGATTCTCCCCGCCATTCTTCCCGTGGTCGATTCGGTCGTCAACTTCATCCGAGAGCCGACCTGGGTGTCGCCTATGCCTCTCCCTGGATTCGAGGCCCGCGAGTTCAGTCAGGAGGAGCAAGATGAGTTCCGCACCAACACGGCCAAGCACCTCGAGTTCCGGAAAACGATCGAACGCACGGGCAACCAAGTATTCCCCTTGTTCCTGCAAGATTCCGACGCACAGAAACAGGCATTTGAGCATTTCAAGTCCGGCATGAGGGAGCAGATCCAGTCCGACTATCTCAAAGATAAGCTGGTGCCACAATGGAGCGTCGGCTGTCGCCGCCTGACCCCCGGAGTGGGCTACTTGGACAGCCTGGCACATCCCAAATCGTCTGTGGTATATGGTGAGATCATGCGGGTGACCGACACCGGGCTTGTGATGGATAATGGCGAGGAGCACCCTGTGGATGTGCTCGTCTGTGCCACGGGATTCGACACGACCTTCAAGCCACGGTTTCCACTGATCGGTCCTGATGGGAGTTCTCTAGCGGAGAAATGGGCGGCAGAGCCGCTCTCCTATCTCGGTATCGGCGCCCCAGGATTTCCAAATTACTTCATGTTCTTGGGGCCGAATTGTCCCATTGGGAATGGACCGGTGCTCATCGGTATCGAGACGCAGGCGGACTATTTCATGAAGTTCATCCAGAAAGTTCGGGAGGAGAATATCAAGTAAGGAGGGCCCTTTCGCTGGACATGCCCCCCTGTCGTTCTCTGTCAAGGGTTTGAGTCACTAACTCGTTTGCTCTTCTCAGGTCTTTCAACCCCAAAGAAGCAGCTGTGGTCGAATTCAAAGAGCACAAAGACACATGGATGAAACGGAGCGTGTGGGACCAAGAATGCCGCTCCTGGTACAAGAACCCCGCGGGACAAATCACCGCCGTCTGGCCTGGCTCCGTCCCCCACTACATTGAGACGATGGAGCGGCCGCGCTTCGAGGACTACGACTGGAACTACCTGACGGCGTCGAATCGGTGGTCGTTCCTGGGGAATGGCTTCTCGCAGCGCGAGGCACTGGGTGCGGACCTGGGCTGGTATATTCGGCAGAGGGACGATGCTGTTCCTCTGGGGAAGAAGGAGAGGTTTGTCTTTACGCCAGGTGCAGACGACCACACGGTTCCGGCCGCGACGACGCTGGGGGCGCCTGTTAATCCGCCGGTCAATCCCCGCTTATGATTGCTACTGCCAATGAGGGATTTCTGAGAATGTTGCTCTATGTAGAATGTACTGGTTTGCTCAGCTAAACAGATGTCTTTTGTAGAAACCAGCCAGTGGGGAATGCTGTCAGTGTGACAGTGACCTTGCACCTTTCTGGTGGTCAACAGGCTCATCTCGGTCCTTGGTCTATGTACGAGTGGATGAATACTTCTATGCCTTCCTTCACCCTTGGCTTCCTTCCAATACGTTGTCGACGTACTGGTCCAGCTAACGCATAGCCTCACTAGACCACCACGTGCACATATCTCCCGTGCATAGCCACTGTAGCTTGAAATTGCCTAGAAGTTGTTCTCGTTCACAGTAAATCCGCTAGAAAAGGTCAGCAAGGCAGTGTCGCAACAGTCTGGGACAAAGGTCTTACTTGTCGCAAACGAGATTTTGCGCGTTGACCAGGCTCATCTTGGGACTACACAGTAGCGCCACGGCGTCACCAATCTCCTCAGGCCATGCTGTCCGACCCTGTCGTGCCTCGAAGCCTGCCCAGGCCTCCGCGAGGCGTGGGTCGCCAAGAGACCCGTCGGTGGCGGCCATCGAAGTATACACGAAGCCGGGAGACAAGGCGTTGACACGGATATTCTTCTGTCGATATTCCAGAGCCGCCTTGATAATATGTCAGTTAGCCTCCCGGGAGCGTAGGCAGTGTACGTGGGCACTTACTGTCTTGGTCATGCCGTAGACGGCATGCTTGGATGCAGTGTATGCGACGGTCGTTGAGCCGGACATGATGGAGTTGACAGAGGCGAAATTGACGATGGCGCCCCGCTGGGGGACTCTCCTGCCCTCGCTGTTCATTTGTTAGAAAGAGGCTCGCCAAGTTATGGAAAGAACATTGACTGGTCGAGACGGGATGGGGGTTTGCTTACAGGGTCAAAGGCTGTTGCTTTTCCATCTGCCGTAGTTGGAATTTCATGCAGATGAAGACCCCCAGGGTATTGATCTTCAGGCACTTATCGAAGGCGGCGGCGTCGACGGCGGTCGTGAATCCCAGAGGTCCCGCGACCCCAGCGGCGTTTCTGCTCCAAGGTCAATAGACTTGTCCTCGACGACGTCCTGATGGTTGATACTTACGCGGCGTAGTCAAGGCGGCCAAACTCTGCAACTGTTGCTTCGACCGCCTTCTCAACCTGAGCCTCATCGGTCACGTCGCACCTGATGGCCAGGCACTATCACAGTACCGTCGGTCAGTGCTGCCCATGCTCGTCGTATTCCTGACTGTGTGGGCTTACCTTTGCACCCTCCTTGATAACCTCCTGCTTCGTAGCTTCCAGAACATCATCGGGGAGGACATCTACAATGGTAACACCCCGGCATCCTTCTCGTGCAAACGACAGGGCCACTGCTTTCCCGAGTCCGCGCGCTCCACCAGTAACGAAGGCGACTCCTGATGGCAATACCCACTGTTTTGACGGCGACATGGTTGTTCAAGTCTCAGCACTTTCTCGCATGTACACTGAAGCGGGGAGTGTCCTTGGGACATGTCACTGCTGCATAACGCTTGGATTTAACAGTGTCAGTGATATCTCTACACCCTTTCCGATGCTCTGGCCTGCGGAATCGTTGTACGCCACGACATTCCTGAAGGGGGATGTTCCCTTTAGGTTTACTAGCTTCACTTGCGAGTTGCTTCCGGTGTCAGCCAAGAGCTCGGAATTAAGACGAGGAGGAGAACCAACGCGGGTGGCGTGTGAGATAGCCTTGGGGTAAGAGGGTCGAGAATTTATATACAATACCAACGAGTCATGAACACTTAATGAGAGACCTATCTGTGCTATCTACATTCAATCAAGACAGTCACGGGCGTAATAGTTATACAATGGTTGCTGACCCTGCGTACCATATCCCGGACCAATGGCTCGAGGCGGAAAGGCCCGTCCGCATCATTTGTGCTGGTGCTGGGCCGGCGGGGATCCTGGCAGCGTACAAGGTGCAGAAGGACTTGCCAAATGCCAGCATCGTGTGCTATGAGAAGTGAGTGTGGCACTCTCTCGATTGAATAGAACTTCCACCTTCTGACACCCCAAAACAGGAATCCCAGCATAGGTGGAACTTGGTAATTGCAACCCTGGAGCTCGAGACATTGGTCATCCGTGTCTAACGATCACAGGTACGAGAATCGCTATCCAGGATGCGCCTGTGATGTGTAAGTCTCCCCTACCCCTGCCGCCAGCGCGTCGCCGTCTCGTTGCTGATCTGCATCGACTCGCCCCAAAGTCCGGCTCATGCGTACACATATCCATTTGAGCCAAACCCAGAATGGTCCAGCTTCTACGCTGGTTCGCCAGAGATCCTGGAGTATTTTAAGAAATTCACCGAGAAATACGACCTCAACAAGTATATCAAGGTCAATTCCAAGGTCTCCAAAGCCATCTGGGACGACGAGAAAGGAATCTGTAAGCGCCTCGACTCGACAGCTCGTGGCCTGTATTCTAGGCTGATACATTGCAGACAACGTCACCGTCGAGACCAAAGACGGGCCTATCGAGGATTGGTGCCATGTCCTGATCAATGCTACTGGGTACTTGAATAGCTGGAAATGTGGGTTCCTTGATCCCTCACCTCGCTCTGTGAGTTGAGCTGCGTGGGTAAGACAGAAACTGATTGATGGTAGGGCCCGATGTGAAGGGCTTGAACACCTTCAAAGGGACTTTGCTGCACAGTGCGAACTGGGACACATGTGAGCAGGGGTCGATGGGTAATGATCAAGTGGAAATAGGTGCTTACTACTTTTTGCAGCGATCGACTGGAAAGACAAGAGAGTCGCGATTCTGGGGACTGGTTCTTCGGCAATTCAGATGGTGCCTCAGATCCAAAAGAGTGGGTTGATCTTCCTCGACTATGGAGGCATCCATGGTGTGTCCTTTGACTGACTTGCCCTCATGAAGCTGCCAAGTCGCTGGTGACATTCATGCGATCCGAGACATGGTATGGATCCTGTGGCATCTGTACGTATAGGCGCCCAGGTTAACCCAGTCAATCTAGGATTTCTCCTCCCGTGGCTGGCGACATTCTCGAAGCCGACAAGACCACCTCAACCGACAAAGAAGCAAGCAAGCGCCCCGAAGCACAGTACTATTATACCGAGGAAGAGAAGCGCCGCTTCCGCGAAGATCCTGAAGCGCTGACCACGTACCGGAGGAACTTCGAAATTGAATTCAACAAAATGTTCGACATGTTCATCCAAGGCACCGACGCCGCTCGATTGGCCAAGGAGTTCATGACAGAGGAGATGAAACGGCGTATCGGCCCAGGGCATGAGGAACTCAAGGAAAGAATGATCCCGAAGTGGCCGGTTGGATGTAAGCTTCCACACATCTTCTTTAGCCTGTGAGGCCTTTTGATATAGAACATGTCTAACCCAAACCACAGGTCGTCGAGTTACACCCGGTGATGGATACCTAGAGGCCCTTGTCCAGCCAAGTAAGTCAGTCTGCATAGACTCGTCACTCTTCCCAGCTGACCAGGTATCTCACATCAGACGTCCGCTACATCTTCGACGAGATCGCGGAGATTGTGCCCGAAGGTCTTCGCGACGCCAAAGGAGAGCTTCATGAAGTGGACATTATCGCTTGTGCGACCGGCTTCAACATCGCATTTACACCTTCTTTGTGAGTGTCTTGACTAGAGGAACAAAACTGTTGATCAATCTAACATACATCGCGATAATAGTGAGATCAAGGGCGCTGGTGGCGTGGATATGCACGAGTTCTTCAACCCAGAGCCTCAGGTCTACCTCGGCCTCGCAGCTCCCAACTTTCCTAACTATTTCATTATCAATGGTGTCCGGGGCAACTGGGCGGCCGGAACGGTCCTTATTACTGTAAGTAATCGTGTATTGTGGGGAGGAAGCATATACTGATGGGGCTACAGCTCGAAGTCTCGGTCAACTACATTGTCGAGAGCGTGAAGAAGATCCAAAAGGAGAATATCAAGTCCATGGTGGTCAGACAGGAGTGTGTCGATCAGCTCTACCAACATATTGGTTCGTGTCCGCCAGGAATCGACTGGTGAAGGTGCTGGAGTTGACCGATCGATTTACAGATGAATGGCACAAGCGATCCGTGTGGAACGCAGATTGCAAGAAGTCAGCATAACCTGTCCCTCACACTCCCTTCCCGCAGAGTTGGGTATATGCTAACACTGATGATTTAGTTGGTACAAGCAGAACATCGTCGGCGGCAAGCTCTGGATCTGGGGCGGCTCGGTAAGCACGGCCTTCCTCCCCTTCTCTGTATCGTCGAACTATTTCACTCACGAGATTTTCGTTCCAAGGGCTTGCATTACAACAAAACCATCCAGAAACCCCGATTCGAGGATTACACGTACAAATATAGAGATGGCAATATGTGGGCGTATCTGGGCAACGGCTTCACCGAAGCACAAGTCAACCGCGACAGTGCGCGGCTTGGGACGTACATGAGGGCCTCGGATACACCATTCGAGTTGTATTAGCAGTGGGCTTGAAGGACGAGCAGATTCGGAGGTTCAAATCCTCGAGATACAGAATATATGCATTTGGAAGGCTGTAGCAAAAGAAGCGAGAAAAGATGAACGTGCAGAGTTGCAGGTTGAAGGATAATTCTCTTTCTTCCCGACAACGGTAGTCCTTGCGCAGTGCTTCAGCAATCTCTGATTTTACGAAATAGACCTCCGCTTCTGTGGAGAGGAATACTTCCTCAGAACGATAGAGATGCCAAATCAAGTGGTTCTGATGATAGACAAGACATTTGTATCGCTGTCTTGTGGGCGACCGAGAACTACTCAATGAAGTCGTGGTTTCTTTTTCGCTGCTCGACCGAGACTGTTGCTGAACAGCTCAGTTCGCCGGCCATGTGGCTGAACATCTCCCCATTCCATCAAAGGGACCTCAGGAGTCAGGCGCCCCTTGTCTCGATCTGCTTTTAGAAAAGGCAGTGGCTCACCAGAGCAATCACCGGATCGGTACCAAAACAAGCTCAATCATATCAGCGGTATGGATTCTCACCTCCTGGGCCGTGCTTAGGAGCCCATGGCCGCCATCAGGTGCTCATATCGGAGCAACAGCGAAGTGCACGACAGTTCGGAATTTGCTAGTTTGTGTGGTTCTTATGTCGAGTTTGCCTGAGCTCAACGGAATAAAGTGATTGGTCTAGGCTCTTAAATGTGGATCTATCCACCCTTTGGTGGGGCTACTGGTAATATTATACCACAATTAACCCCCGATGCAGATGGACACGACAACACGATGGACAAGCACATGGGTTAAGATGACTGACAGGCAAAACATTTTCTCGAGAATTGTGACAGTGACCGCGTCATTCAATTCAACGGGTAAGCACCACATCCATCTAATGAGTGCCATTGGTCTGGACGAGAACATTCCCACAGGCGTCGTAATACTTGACGGCACCCTTTCTCTCAGGGCGTTCTAATGCCCAGACGATAAGCAGGGGCTCGCTTCCGTGGTTCCTCAAACAATGAGGTGTCCCCGGTGGGAAATACAGCCCGTCCAGGTACCCGACCTCCTGATTTCCTTTGCCCAGGTTAACGATCCCCTTGCCGCCGACCACGATGTAGACCTCGGCCGTTTCGTGGCTGTGAGGCACCTGCTTGTGGCCTGGCAGCACGGTGGTCATCCCCAAGGCTAGCTTGTCACTCACCACCGACACACCAGGGTTGAGGTCTAGAAACCCTTTGTCCCCTCCGACCCAGTTCACAGACCATCGCAGGAACTCGGGTTCTTTGGCCCGCGGCGCTGCCCACGAGGGATCCAAGTCTTTCAAGCTGACTGTGAGAATGGGATCCCGCGATGGAGCCCGATCAAGTTCTTCCTGCGTATTACAGTAGACGGTCACTCCCTTCGCCTCTATCCCGTCGTGTAGCCAGACTAGCTCAACGTCCTCAAATCCGCAGTTGCGGACGCCATGCGGGACGCCTTTGGGGATGTATATGCAGTCCATAGGCCCGGCTAGATGGGATCCTCCGTCAGCGTCGTAGCTTTGGACGTGACCTTTCAGGATGATATAGATCTCCGTGATACTGTGGTAGTGTAGGCCTTCTTGACGCTGCCCGATTGGGAGGTACATGTATCCGACGCCAATGTTTTCACCTGTAACTGCACGTCCAAGGCTGGGATTCACGTATCCCGCGGGCCCGCCAACCCAGCTGATCAGCCATCGCATGAATCCGGGGATCTTTGCGCTGGAGACATGCCAAGATGGCTCAAGGTCCCGGAAGGGGATGATCGAGGCGACCTTGTTGGAGGTGACATCAGGAGATTCATCGTATGACTCTTTCCCCATTGTTTAATGACTCTTGCAGTGCCCGTTCGATGCTGTAGGGAGCCCAACAGAGCAGATCCACTCACAGAGGCCCGTTCACAGTGCGTGAGTTGGCGAGGGAGACTAAAGTTGAGGAAGGCTGCTTTACCAATAGGGAGGAGATCGAGGAGACACACGCACGTTGGGACAGGCAATATCCCCTATCACAGACGAGAGAACGGCCAGTTGCTAATACGACACCCGGATACTGACACTGGATTGAAGATTATTTGTATAAGCTGTACGGGTATAGCGTCTCACACCGCATAACCTGTTGTCGGAATCGGGCATTGCTGGCGGAATAAGATCGGCCACTGACACCTTGGGTTTTCTCCAAACACTCCGTGCGATACGACTTGTCGCCTGGGGAGGAGCAGAAAAGAGCCACTCACTGTGCTTCCGAGAACGACAATGTCTCCTGATCAGCTTTGCCACAAGGGGATCATCCAGCCCAAGTGTCGCCCCTCGAAGTACTCGGCACAGCTGAAGTGATTGCGGCCCACATTACATTCGTATTCCGCATCGATATATGACTTCCTTGACAATCTGGTCCTTGATGCCTCGATTGCCCTGGAGACAACAATTCATTCAATAATGGATAATTCAACGACTGTCCACGACACTTACCATCTCCTGCCCTTTGGGTTGGGGGCTCAGAATGACGGACGACGCAGTTTACTGGCGTATGCCATTATTGCCGTGCTGGTCGTCGTCCTGACACGGGCATATTTCTCGCAGACAAAATTGCCAGATGTGCCGATGCTCAAGATCTCAAAGCTGCCCGGCGCTGCGGGAGCCGCTGAAGATCTCGCTCGGTACATCAAAAACGGAGCAGAGGTGATGCAGGTCGGTTGGGAAAGGGTATGTGTGCCCAATTTCTCTCTCTGTAGCGAAACAGCGAAGAGGATCAGGCTAATCGAGGTTGGTGAAGTATTCCAAAAAGGGCCAACACTACTTGATGAGGTACGTTCCAACGCTGCTGCTACTACATCGCATGTGATACCCGAAAAGAATTCAATGCCAACATGGAAAATGCTACAGGACTCCGGGCTTCACAATGCTGGTCGTCGCACCGCGACTCACGGAAGAGATACGGTCTGCCGCCGATGACACGTTGAGCGCCGTCAAGGCGAACAGCGAGTTCATGCAGTTCCGCTACACGCTTCACAAATTCATGGAGACCGACCAGTACCACAATGTCGTCGTCCAGAGACAACTGACCCAGAATCTTGGTAAGAGCATAGCCAGACCGAATGAGGAAATCCCTCCTTGCTGACGACTTTGCCTTCAGGCCCTAGTCTTTACGCCATCGTAGTAGGTGGTACCGCGAACATGTGTCATGTTTGAGTACTAAACAGACTCCCAGGACGAGGCCAAAGGCTCTTTCAAAGACACCCTGGGCACATTCAAAGGTAAGAGCCCAAGACGGATCCATCATTACTACTCCCCGGCATCTTTCTCTGTGAGTTAACTGACAGTGTCGTTCCCCTTAGTGCCCACCGACCTTACCATGTGGAATCTCAGCTTCGACATCGTCACCCGCACCGCCAACCGCCTGCTCTTTGGACCGGAACTGGCCAAAAACGCCGAATTCCTCCGCCTGAGCGTCGACTTTTCCTTCATCATGTTCGGCGGCGCCGACATGATCCGCACGTACGCCGAGATCCTCAAGCCGCTGGTCCTGTACTGGAAGACGCCGATGCACAAGACGCTGAACCTGGCTCGCAAGCATCTCGTTCCGGTGATCGAACAGCGCATCGCGCTGATGCAGCAGCACGAGGCCGCGGGGACCATGGACGTGTGGAAGAAGGAGAAGCCCAACGACTGCATCCAGTGGGTTCTGGACGTGACGCCGCTGGAGAAGCGAGATCCCCAGATGCTCGTGTACCGCATGCTACACATCAACATCGCGGCCGTGCACACCTCAAGCGTCACCTTCCTCGACTGCATCTACGAGCTCGCCGCGCACCCGGAGATCCACGACGAACTGCGCCAGGAGATCCTCACCACGTTTGCCGCCGAGGGGAACTGGTCCAAGCAGGGTCTCACCCATCTGCACAAGATGGACAGCTTCATGCGTGAGTGTGTCCGCTTCAACCCGGTCTTCTCGGGCAACCTCGACAGGATTGCCCTCAAGGACACCACGCTCAGCGACGGGACGTTCGTGCCAAAGGGGACATGGGTCACGGTCCCCTCGTACCCGATGTACATGGACGACGACTACTACGAGAACGCGCACGAATTCGACGCGTTCCGCTTCTCCAAGAAGAGAGAAAAGTCGGGACAGGAGACGGCGTTTTCGTTTGTCCAGACAAGCACGACGTATCTCCATTTCGGGTGAGTATTGTTAAACATCCCCACACATCCACCCACAAATCTTTGCCCCTTTTCTTTGTTCAGAAGATGAGACAAAGTCGGCCTTGCTAACCTTTTGGCCTCCCTGTCAGTCACGGAAAACACGCCTGTCCCGGACGCTTTTTCGCCGCCAACGAGATCAAGATCCTGCTGGTCCTCACCCTGATGAACTACGACATCTCCCTGCCCGACCCGACCAAGAAGCCGGAGCCCGTGTGGTTCACAAAGGCGCGAACACCGAGTACCAAAGGCGTCATTCGCTGGGTTAGTCGGCCCGAGGTCCCCGACTTTGCGCGCTTTGAGTGAGGAGATTGGCGGATGTCTTGTCGAACCAGAGACACGGCGATTGGTGTCTTCTTGGACGGCGAGACAGCGAACAATTCTATAGAGTTTCTTTTGAGTCCCTGAAACCGATATTGCCAAGGGGTCCGAAGGGCTGGTGAGGTCCAAGAATTGACGAGGTGAACGGAGCGGGTGTGGATGGAGATAGCGCAATTTTTTTTTGTAGTCAGAATATCCCTTTTGACGTGACCTTGAACCCGTCTTCTACTGGCAATCTGATTTTCATTTCCTTGAGGCTGGATATTATAGAACAATGCGGACTGTGATAGTGAGAACGTCGCGTCGATTGTGTAGGTCAATGCTGCATCTTTCAAAGGGCTTTTTCTTCGCGATAGCAAGTCTCCAATCTCTTCTTTCCTTCGGCTGTTTCTTCCGGCCCATGCACCACGAAGCCATCAAGTCGTCGAGCTCTTCTCCATTCCTCTGTGATCTAGCCTGTCGACGGATCGGTCCTGCCAGTATTGAAGATATGATCTACTCACATTCAGCCCCCTTGGTTCAAGGAACCACATTAGGCATCCGGGCCTGAAACGCAGAAGACGGCACGAGCACTCCAAAATCTTTATCAACAGTACTCGAGTTCATCGTTTGTCTTTGACTGTTCCGCTTTGACGACTTTCAGTGCGACATACCGCTGAGACCTGTTTCTTCTCATCTTTCGTTTCAAGAAATTAGCGCCAAGGTGTGATGATGACTTGTGCCTCTGGTCCAGAGCTAGCCACACGGTGGAATATTGACCATAACCTATTTTTGCGACGGTTTTGTACCGAGAACTGGATATGTCGCCCAGGTGCACCGGATGGCAGCCACCGTGTCGATTCTGTTTGACGGGCTCGACCGCGTCGTAGATCCTCTCGAAGCGGCGCGCCATCTCGATAATACAAGACGCACTCAGGGACAAGTTGACGAGGCACCAAGGACGGGAACCGCAATAGGCTTTGGGTGACCCCAACCATGCCCGATTAGGCTAGACTAGCTTAGCCGTATACCACTAGGCCGATTTCAGTCATGACCCCCGCACAAACGATGGAGCCTAACGGAAACCCCATGATTCGCAGGCCTGTCTCTGTCTCCTCGGAAATAAGGATCTTGGTGGGATGGCAGGTTTCCGCTTTTCACCTTCGCTTCACGAGTCGTTTTAGAGATCATAAGAGAGCAGCCCATTTCCTCGCGCGATGGATCCGTCCGTCTTGATGGTACAAGAAGAAGTTGCTTCAACTCTATCAATAGCACTGGACGGAGCCAGTCGTTCAACATTTCACCATTGACAAAGATTGCATACAGCAAGAACCATGTCCAACTCAGATACACCTCGCAAGATGAGGGCGGCGGTCTTCCAGGAGGCATGTGCCTGTAACCGGAATGCCTTCTTCAGAGCACTTTTCCAAGCTAACCGCATTTTGTTTAGGTTGGGAAGCCAGTGGTGGTGACTGAGATCGATGTGCCTTCGATAGGGAACGACGAAATCCTTGTCAAGGTAGCCAGTGCGAGCCTGTGTGGCTCGGATCTTATTGTCTACAGAGGGTACCTCGGCCCACCGGCAGGACGCGTTGGAGGCCACGAAGCTGTCGGCCCTATTGTCCAAGGTGAGAGATTTTGTTTTCACTCCACGGCTCTCTGAGAAGGCATCCATGTACCGGGCTTACCAATGCAAACCCTTTGGTCCGTCAGTCGGCAATTCTGTCAATGGGTTCAAAGTCGGAGATCGAGTCGGCTTCTTGAACTGTTTGACCACGTGTGAGGCGTGCACTCAGTGTCTAGGTAAATTATAACTTCCCCTGGACGTGCACGAGCAACGCCCATTGTAGCCCCCCCGCGGCACGATGTTGGAACTGACCCGACCCAGCTGGACAACAACAGTTTTGTGAATCCGGAAAGATCAACCAAGGCTTTGACACAAACGGTTTCTTTGCCGAATATGCGCGGGTCAAGGCTTTATTTGCTGTCAAGATCCCTGACGGGCTGCCTCTTGAGCGGTAGGATATCTCGCCCCGACGTCGTGTTTTTTTTTTCTTTTACCGTCAACTAACCGTGGAACGATGTCCAACAGACTCTCTCCACTGTTTTGCGCAGGAATCACAGCGTTCCGTGCCCTAAAGCAACTCATGCCGCTCCGGGCGGGTGTAATTGGAGTGTTTGGGCTCGGTGGAGTGGGCGTGTTCGCCGTCCGCTTTGCCAAAGCCTTGGGGTATCAGGTCCTGGGCTTTGACATCTCGACTGAAGCCAGGGAAGCTGCGCATGGATACGGTATAGACGCTACGGTCGATATTTCGGACGCAAATGCCGTCTCCGAAGCCCTCGCTCGATTCGACAAGTCCGCGGGGCTGGACGGGGCCATTGTTGCAGCCGGCGTGCCTGCGGCATATCAGGCTGCTATCAACTACACTGGATTCAATGGGTAGGAGACACTCCTCTCGCGTTAACCACAAATCGGCAGAGCTAACGCCACACACACACAGGACAATAGTGGCGGTGGGAGTGCCGCACACGGACGTAAGCATTACTATTTTGCAGTTTGTGAAGAAGAATCTGCGGCTGCAAGGAACCCAAAGCGGCACTCCGCTGGAGCTGAAGGAGATGATGCAGCTGGTCCAGGCACATTCAATCATCCCGGATGTAGACTTGTCGCCGCTCGACGCTCTTCCCGAGCTAGTGGATGCTTTGGCGACTGGTAAGATTACACGCAAAGTAGGCGTCGTTTTCGACAATACGCAGACCAGTTAGCATGATAACGAGACACTCCGTCGGTTGGGGGGAAGGGGAGGCAAGTCCTGGCAGAACGGACACAACTTCATCATTGGCTCTGCTGCAGAAAAGGTTCTTTCTCTCACCACCCACCTAGAGGGGTTTCAGCTGGACGCGAGACTCTGTTTTCGATTCTCCAGAAACAGCTGAGGGGCAATTCCCATAAACCTCCACCCAATTACCATCACATAGGCACCATCGAAATAATCTTTCTCATTGTCGTACAGAGCGACGAGGAAGAGAGGCTCGGATGGAACTTTCCCGGCTCGATTCTGGGGAGGCCAGAACCGGAATTGACTCGCCACGTAGGACAGCCAGACTGCCGGCCGAAGCAAAGACGTGACCGCTTCCCCCGTCGTTGCAGTCATTAAATGGACAATAATACGGCCCCGTAATGGGGTCACATAGGTTGTTAGGAGGAATCACAAGTCATCGCACAAACTGATACTACCCATGGCACTCTCGTTGACAGGGAAATACGTTATCGTGACAGGCGGCACCAGGGGCATTGGGTATGCCGTTGCCAAAAAGCTAGCATCAAGAGGCGCAAAGGGGGCAAGTCCTGCAATATGATGCTGCACATATGGCACCACCGCTGACCATATTTCGTTGACAAGGTGGCCTTTACATACAACTGCAACCCTTCACAGGCCGAAGAGGTGGCCGCGGAGATCAGGAGTCATGGATCCGAGGCATTGGCCATTCAGGGCGAACTGAAAGACCCCAATTTCGCACAGTCGGTTCTGGACAGTGTCCTCCGCGGATTCAACACGCGTACGATTGATGTCCTGGTCAACAACGCAGCCCTGACGGGGTTAAATGATAATCTGCCGGTCAAGGACGTTACTATCAAAAACTTTGACGACGTCTTCCACGGCAATGTTCGGGCACAGATGTTCCTGATGCGAGCGGTGCTGGAACATCTTCCGGAGAAAGGGGGCAGAATCATCAATATCAGCTCCATCGCCGCCAAGAAGGCCTCGCTCGAACCCTATGTAGTGTATGGGGCGTCGAAAGCTGCTCTGGAGTCTCTCACACGCTCCTTCGCGATGGAGTTTGCGTCCAAGTACGGATGCACAATCAACGCCGTCACTCCTGGGTTCACAGTTCACGAGGACATACTGAAACGCATTCCCAAGGAGACCCTCGAGCAGGCGAATCAGCAACAGAATGTGGAGAAGCGATTCGGCAACCCCGACGACGTCGCTGAGGTCGTAGCATTTTTGGCTTCCGAAGAGTCGCGTTGGATCAACGGCAATTGCGTTCCCGCTAACGGTGGCGCCAATATAGCAGCAGAATAGACAGACCAATGGTATTGGAGCCGGGATAGAGTCCCCAGACCCTTTCCGTCCGAGTCAAGAGATCCGTACTAGAAGAGAAAGTCCATTGTACCCTGTCACGATCACGCGTGGGAAAAAAGGCGTGCCGAACGCTTTGCAGCAAGCCACCTCTCTCCAGCGATCGCGAAGGAAAGAAACACCCCTTTCCACGGCCACGGGTGATTTTCTTCCATCAGAAGCAATATCCGCTTCCATGTCCATGTTCATGTCGCCGGTATAGCTGTTGCATCGTTGCAGATCATACCCGTAGTTAATTCCGGTAATCCTCCTTTCGTCGAGGCCCCCTCCTTTCGTCGTGGACCCCGACGGTTGATGGTCCCGTTGGAGTCGGAATCAATGGGAACGGCGGCGGATGACTCGCGGTATCCAGTCGTTCACTGGTGAGATTGTGCACACATATGATGAGTTGCTGTCCCCAGAGATCACGAGTTGTCGCTCAAGTTGTGGTGGATAGTCACAGTCGACCATGTCAGGAGAAACTGGTTTCAGCGCGCTGGTGACCGGCGGTGCGTCAGGCATAGGAGCCGCTGTCAGCAGGAAACTCGCCTCCCGCGGCATTAATGTCTTGATAGCTGATGTGCAAGATGAGCTGGGAGAGAAGCTGGCTCAAGAAATCAAGTCCGCCTTCAAGGTAGAGGCTGTTTACCTCCACACAGATGTTTCAAAGGAGGCAGACATTCGGAACATGATTGCGACTGTGGTGAAGAAGTTCGGCCGCCTGGACTATGCCGCCAATGTGGCCGGCATCTGTGAGAACACACAGTTTGAAGAGCACAGCATTACCGCAGAGATGGTCGACAGGTATGTGCACGGCTCACAAATCATGGCAGCCCCGAAGTCAAATCCATTCTCATTCGTGACTGCAGGACGTACTCCATCAATCAACGGGGTGTATGGCTCTGCCAGAAGCTAGAGGCTGAGCAAATGATAACTCAGGAGCGTCGCGCTGTTGAATTCTCGCCACCTTCACCACAAAGCATTCAACCCCAGCGCGGTGCAATCGTCAACGTGGCCTCTACGACGGCAGTCGTAGGTATGGGGTTTGGCGCCTATGCTCAGACCAAGGCCGCGGTGGTCACTATCACGCAGAACGGCGCCTTCTTCTATGGGCCTCAGGGAGTTCGTTGCAACTCCATCTCTCCAGGAGGCACCGTCACTCCCATGATGTTGAGGAACGTACCCGAGCAGTTTAGGGGGACTGATACTCACGAACAGCCGGGTAACGTGCTTGTGCAGCCGATTGCATTGAAAACCATGGCAAGGCCCGAGGAGCAGGCGAATGTGATCAGCTTCCTGTTGAGTGCGGAAAGCAGCCAGGTCACCGGCGTCAATATCTTGGTTGACGGCGGCTTCACGTTCACACGCTCCGGATGAACCGGGACGTTGCCAGTGTAGAAATGGCAGTTATTTCCAAACAGTCAGCGGCATTAAGTCCAGGTAACAGCATGCTCGTGATGTGTTGGCTTCAATTGGTCAAAGACAGTTCGTGAACTGGGGCCGATATAGAACATTTTCTCATGTATATCAATGCTGACTGGTTTTTTCTCACTCGGTGACTGAGCGTACAAGCCTCACGAGCACCCGCGGAATACTTCCATGTTGAGCAATCGATGCTAACATAGTAAGGCCCACTGAAATTCCGAGGAGGGATGGCGGAAGTTTCGCGGAGGCGGTGCTTCAATACGATGATGGCGGCACAAGCAGCAGCTCGCTCATTTCATCGTACTGGCTGATCATAAACTCTCCCTTCCTTGCTTGGTCAACTCAAAGAGCTTCTCTCCCTCCCTCATCCTCCAAACTTTGCAAAGTGTACAGGACATAGTGCCATTATGCCTCTGAAAAACCAGCAATATTCACAATTCTCAGCCGAGTTTGAAAATTTCCTCAAAGGACAGACCGAGGGAAATCCACTTGCAGCTCTTCCTCTTGAAGAAGTACGCGAAGCTGTTGCAAATGCAGAATCAGCGCTTTGGGACCGAGACAGCGAGGGGATCAAATGGAGGGAACTCAGCATTTCAGCACCATCAGTAGGATTGGAAGTTCCAATCAGGATATACGAGCCAAGTACCTCGCCACAGGAGCTCCCAGGTCACATTGCCTTCATGATTCACGGAGGTGGATGGACCTTGGGTGGCGCCTACTCGGATTCCTTCGCGGTACGTGCCCTTGTGAGGAGGCTAGGCATGGTTGTCGTCACGATCGGGTACCATCTCGCCCCAGAGAATCCCTTCCCAGTAGCGTTGAATGAGTGCTGTGACGCTCTTCATTGGATTTGCACTCAATCGGGACTGGTAAAATCGCCTCAGCAGAAACTTGTCATGGCCGGATTCAGTGCTGGGGGGAATCTATCAGCAGCAGTAACACAGTGGGCGTGCAGAAACCGCTTGGCTCGCCACATCGCAGCGCAGGTTCTCTTTTCGCCCGCCACCTGTCACTACAAGCAGCTGGCACATGCCAGCCACGCCTTCAACACAGAGTTGGAGTCAATCAACAATGCAACCTCGCCTTTTCTGTCGCCCGAGCAGCTCAAAGGCTTCTGGGACATATATGACGCAGCGGATGGGAAAGACTCAAGGGTGTCGCCTCTCCTGGCCGAAAACCTGTCCACTCAGCCTCCAACTTATATTCAGGTCTGTGGTGCCGACCCTCTGCGCGATGAAGGCCTCGCCTACGCGGAACGATTGCAGAGGGCAGGCGTGGAAGTCGGAATCGATATCTATGCTGGGATGCCGCATGCTTATCACAGTGATTTGATCGCTATCCCAGGGCGCGGGAGAACTATGGATGACTTGGTAAAGTGGTTGAGTCTCGTCTTGTCGCCGCGAAGCATTTCTGAGGACAGCATCAAGTCACAGTTATCTTGAAGGGATTGCTGTTGGTGCGCACTGGGATGCGGCCCACTGCCTGCAGTCGAGGGTGGCACGAGGGTGGTAAAACTTAGTCTGTGGCTATAAGCAAAGGCGACCTTCAAATGGCCGCTATGACCGCGATCTTGAGTAAACAGAGTTGAAAATGACGTGCCACTTAAGGAGAAGGTGGAAAGCATGAGCCCCCTTCCCCTTGCGGCTGACCTCAACCTCGGGGCAGCCCGGCCGAGCTTAGTTTGTTTGCTATGTTTGTTATGTTTGTTATGTTTGGTCAGTAGGCCGTCAGGACAATTCTACAACTACTACTCTACCTACATGAGTCTCAATTTCGCAACAGCTCCCCCCTTTCAGCATGACCATATTATGATTTGATTTAGCGAAGGGGACTTCTCCTATCCTATGACTCGATGGCGAGTTACTATTTGAAGCCCACGCTTGTGCCGTCTTGTGCTGCACGGTGACCAATGTATCGCCGAGTCTCGATACGTACAGCTTCATTGGCTCCTGAATTTCCGTTCATGGATAGACATGACCCTTCGCCTCAGTTAGGAGAGTACCGCCAGTGAACGAGAATCTATCAAGCACATCCAAACCCTTACCGTGTACGGAATCTCGGAAGTGACAGACTGAGAAAATCTGACAAGTACACAATCTTAATTCCGAAAATCTGCGAGTGTGCTATGCGGATGTGAAGGATCAAAGTCACTGGAGCATGCTCTCTAGGGCAGCGAGTCCAGAGGGGTCCCATCGGGCCCAAAACACCGATAATGTCCCTCAAAACGAGATCAAGTCCATCGCAGTCCGATCATCGCATGCAGTTCCGTTCAGTCGTCCTTGTGCTATAACAACCAAAGGACAATACCTACGAAGCTAGGAACTCCACGCACACCACGCCTCTGAAGATTTCAATACCCGACTGCTCAAGATGCTGAAACAAAAGGACAGTTCCCGACCCATCGCGGTTGCAGGAGCCTCAGGGGGTGAGCAAATCTCGTGATTATCTGCAGGAACTCAGTATGCTAAACATGAATTTGTAGGTGCCCTAGATCGATTCCGAGGTCTGACAGACCTCTCCAAGCTTCCTGAGATCGATGTCATTGTCGGCGACTGGATGTCCGAAGCCAACATGACCATGCGTGGAGTTGAAGTCGCCGAGCTGAAGAAGAAGAAGGCAAAGTTGGATGGCCAGGTCGGTACAGTGTCTGAAGTGAACGGGGATAGTACCTCAGAGTTGGGCTTCCTCAGCAGGAGCAGAGGAGGGTACGACCCTTATTTCTTGGAGCAGCTCGAGCCTGCCCTCGAGAACCTCGCGGCCAATGGAATCCGTCTCGCCTGCAATTCGGGCGGTAGTAACCCCCGCGGACTGGCCGAGGCGGTGAAGAGCTTGGTCAGTGCAAAGGGCCTCAAGCTCGACGTTGCGTGGGTCGACGGAGATGATGTTTCCGATGTGACTTTGGACCTCTGGGCCAAGGGTGAAAGATTCCCTGGCTTGCCTACAGGGAAAGACATCCAAGATTGGCCATTTGATCCTCTGTGTGCTCAATGCTATCTGGGTGGCGTCGGTGTCGCCAAAGCCTTCGAATCCGGTGCTGCCATCGTCATCTGCGGTCGTATAGCGGACGCCTCGGCTCTGGTGGGTGCTTGTATGTGGTGGTTCAACTGGCAAAGGGAGACCCATATACAAGAGCTGGCAGGCGCTTTGGTGGCTGGTCATCTCACGGAATGTAGCACGTACGTGACAGGTGGCTGCTATGCAGGTTTCAAGGAGTTTGGTACCAAAGATGTCGACTTGTCCTTCCCGATAGCTTGGATCGAGTCCAATGGCGAATTTGAGCTGGGCATGGAACCAGGACATGACGGCAAGGTCACTGTTGACACCGCAGTTACGCAGCTCCTGTACGAAATCCAGGGCCCGCTATACTTCAACTCGGATGTGGTCGCCAACCTGGAAGGTGTCCAGATGCAACAGATAGGACCGAATCGCGTTCGAGTCACTGGTGTCGAAGGTCTCCCGCCTCCGCCGACTACGAAGGTCGGGATCACTGCGCGAGGAGGGTATCGAGCGCAGTTCCATTACTACCTCACCGGGCTCGA